AGACTAAAATAAGATTAAAGTCAGTCTTATCTAATGTGCGATAATCGGGAATAAGTAAAAGTAATAAATATAATTATTAGTACATAGAATGAATTAAATTATTGCTTAACATATTTTTTTAGTTTGAAGATATTTGCGGTTATATAACTAGTAAAAGGCGTTTACGAGTTACTACATAAAAAACTCTATAACTAATGACGCTATAGAATTAAAATAATTTTTGTCGAGTATTGTTAATTTCAACTCTGATTAACAGAGTGATTAATATGCCCTTGTACAAAAAGTATGATATAAAAGTTTATAAAATATTTAAATAATTTTGAAAATTCAAGTAACGAAAAGTCGATTTCATAGTCGATAAAAGCGATGGAGTTGAAGATACTGTTTCTCTTCAGAAGAATTTATCTATGAAAATACGATATTGTGCCAAATATCAATGTCGATATACAGGCTGATGTAGATTTGAATCAAATCAATAATGATGAAAGTATATTGATCAACAATAATGAATTAAAAGTAAAATAACAAGTTGAAATGGTCAAGATAATTGCGCATTATATGGCCAAAATAAGTTTCCATCACCATAGCAAAAGATTGAAGATGTTGATAAGCTTTGTTTCCCTAAAATTTTTGCTAGACATACTTTACAAAAATGTGATAAAACTTATTTAAGCTAGTTGATATTGGTATTTTGCCATGAGGCAAGTTACATGAACTTCCCGATATGTGTAATTAATTGACTTAATTAATAAAAAATGAGTGATTAAAAGATAACTTACACATAATTGAAAACGAACGAACGCATTAACTCGGAGTATTTCTAAAACCAAATTTTCATAAACCAAGTGCATTGAGGCCAAGTACTCTAGCGTTATACCAAGTAAATCGTAAATTACTCATTTTCTCAAACTTTGATGAATTTTTAAAATTAAACTACTTGTCGTAAGGCCGTAATATTTTAGTAAGTTCTATAAGACCACGATATATATTGACAAAAAAAGTTTCATAAAAATCGGCTTAATTTTCTTTTGAACAGTTAATTACAAGAAAACGGCTTGGTAGATTTTCACCTAAAACTAATCAGTATTATTCCTCACTAATATCTTTCGAACAGTTTTTGTTTTTTCAAAATCGATTCGGTAAAATAAGCTTAAAATGTGGACTTTTCTGAAATCGGTTCAGGCGTTTTTGAGAAAACGTCGATCAAAGGTATAATTTTGACAAATGCCAAAAAACGATACTAACTTTTGCAAACATTGAAAAATTTTTAAAATTAAACGACTTGTCATAGGACCGTATTATTTTAGTATGATCTATGATATCTACCGTCAAAAAAATTATAAAAATTGTCAATTTTTTTCTTAAACTTTATTACGAGAAAACGGCCCGGCCGATCTTTACCAAAAACTAATCAGGTCGGTTCCCAACCAATATGTTTCAAAAAACAGTTTTTGAATTTTCAAAATCGATTCAGAATTGCGGGCTAAAACGTGGAAAAATTTTTCACTTTTCTGCGATTTACATAGAAACGGCTCGGCCGATCGTCGCACAAAACTTAGAAACGCTAGTCCTCATCGAGATACATCTAATGGCTTTTCAATTTTTGAAATCGGTCCAACCGTTTTTGAGAAAACGTCGATTTACGGCAAAAAAGTGTTCACACACACACACACACATACTTTTTCCAAATTTGGTCTCATTCGATTCAGAATGGCTTGAAACGTCGAGAAAACATAAAATTAGCAATTCGGATTTTTTGATGAGAACATAAACTTCTCCTTCAGGAAGTTAAAAAATGAAAATCACTATTTATACCCGTCGCGCTGTTACATATTCCTTATTTGTATGAGAAATGAAAAATATTATTTTCATTTGATGTGGTTTATGAATATATATTTACTAAAATAATAGAAAACGGTGTGTTTCGTATCAAAGCAGTTATAATTAATCTTGTTTGATCTTCTTAGACGTAGGACGATATAATTAAAAATATATTTTCTATTTACAGGACGATGTGTATACCATGAACTATTCCCCACGGAACAGAAGATAAAAGCCGATCCTTCCATAGATGATACTATTTTAGGTAAGTAATAAAAGTAATTGTTTAATAAATAATTACCAAAGCTTTGATGATGTACACAACACAAATATTAATGTCACAATTATATGAGTATAATCTATAAATACACATCTATAGTATAGATCGTTGACTTTGAAAAATATTAGTGAAATATTTCTTTAAATAAATCTGATACCCGCATGCAATTGCAATTATTTTTAATAAAATATAATAATTGTCTATAATAATTTTTCTCTACATTTTGTTTCTAATTTATTTAAACGTTTTATATGTCCTAGCCCTATTCCAAAAAAAATCAGAATAAATTTATAATATGAATAAAATTTATAAACAGCACGTTTTGAAATTGCAAAACAAATTTAATGTTTAAATATACAAAACTTTGAATGTACTTAAAAATATATTAATTTAATAAACATCAATGTTTTAAAACTGCTAAAATTAATTTTGTTTTATAAAATGGTCGAGGTTGAGATTAAAATTTGTAAATAGTAAAATATTTAATCAATATACATTTTTATATTCCTTATATTTTTAGGAAACCACTAAAAAAGTTTATCAAAATCTAAATTTACATTAATAATATTATAAATAGAAGGAGATTTTACACCAATTCAACAGAATTAATATCTTTTAAAATATTTTTTCAATGAGTTTTTAAGGAAAATATTAATAAACTTGAACAATTAATATCATTGAAATATTCAATATATCATAATATTAATTAGTGTAATATGGGCTGTATAAAAATATAATGATATGACTCCTATAAAATAGTAATATAGTTTATTATAAAGAGAAACTTAATAGCATAATGTGTTAAGATAATAAATTTCACAAATTTGTTATTTGAATTAAAAGTTTTCCTTTTTCACAACAATTGTTTATTTTATTTTTGATTTACAATAATATCCACATATAGAGGATACAAGATGTTATCTTCTTCAGAAACTATTAAAAACAAAATTTATTTATACATCCATACAAATTTTTAAATATATACAAGTTCAAAAATCAATTTTACTATTGCCATTTTAATCATTTTAATAATTACTGAGTAATAAACATGTTATTAAATCATTAAAATATTGAAAATGTATGAAAAGCATTAGCAGCAAAAAATGTGAATAATATTAAAAGTTCTTGAAAAGGGGGAAATCTATATTTTATAAAAGTAGATATAATTATGAACAAAAATTTAAATTTATTTATATATTCATACAAATTTTTAAATACATACAAGTGCAAAAATCAATTCTACTATTGCAATTTTAATAATTTTAATAATTAGAAAACTGAGTAATAAACATGTTAATGTATTAAATCATTAACGTATTGAAAATGTATGAAAAGCAAGAGATATAATTATAAATAAAAACTTGAACAGTTTATGTCATTTATTATTGAGAAACTATATAATGAATGATATTAGCTATTTAGAAAAACTTGAAGTAAAGAGGAACTACGGACTATCTGTAAGAGGGGTAACTAGTAACAGGTGTTTTTCAATAGGATCTTAAACGATATTAAAATACCTCAGGCATTTTGATTTGCATTATTATTATCGACTGCATATTTTTAAGCATGTTCAACAATGTTTGTTTAAATAGTTATTTTGATTATTGCAAAAAACACACACCTGGGGTCAGTTGAAACAAAACCTTGGGGCTAGTTGCAATATACAAAAATTACCTACTGTTTCAATTAGAAAGATTAAGTAAAATATATAGTTTGTAAAATGGGACTATATATATTGTGTTACAGGAGTAGCTATATTTTGAATTTGTAATATAATAATAATCATAGTTTACGTTGATTTATGAGACTTTTTTAAAAAAATATATGGAATTAATAATTTGTCAGAGTATTATTGTCGTTCTTTGTCGTAACTACTTGCCCTGGTAGATGTTACAACTTGTCCGGAGTAATTCTTGAAACTGATTATTTGTGAAATAATGAACCACAGTTGCGGAAGTATTCTTACTTGATTTACTAGAGGAATACTAAAAGCAATCATCAATATTTATTTTATTGAAACATAATCAATGGATCTCAAAATATATTAATTTAAATAAAAACTATTACAACAAGCCACTAGTTATAAACAATTTTTAAACTGTTAATAAATATTTCAGATTATAATCGCACAGAAGTCTCGTTTGTAATAATTACTTTGATAGTGATGATAATAGGAACTATATTCAGTATGTATACCTTTGCTAATCCAAGATATACTTTCAAAAGATTGGCGGGCGGTGTACATTTTATATCTGGTGAGTATAATTATAATATTGTTTTTATAAAATCGCTTTTCTTGGAAACTACTGCATAAAATTTATATTTTAAATTGTAGTTTAATTAGGTATGTTATGTGCAATATCCACCAAGTTACTTATCTGTCTAATTTCAGCTGCTTGCGTTATGGTTGTGATCCAAGTTTTAATTTCGTCAGTTGAATATACTAAACAGAACTTGAAGTTTATATATCCTAAAGGAGCGTCTAATTAGTAAGTATATACTGCTAACGATAAGTATGCCGTATTATGATTATTTAAGCGTAGTTTCATAGTTTGCAAAATATCTTAGGGAATGGAAGAACTTTAATTATGCATTATCTATTTTTTTATGAAACTATTCATAACGCAAGAAGTTTTGTAATTAAAACTGGTGCGTAGCGCTAAAGGAAATCCATAAGATTTTTAATCTGTGCAATTATAAATTTAATTTTTGACGTTGCAAATTTTCCTTAGCAGTTAAGGTACTTTGAGTGTAAAAAACATTACACAAAGATGACAATATTAATAATTATCTTAAGAATGAATGATGGTATTTATAATAATAGTAAAAAATTGAAATAGTTTATTCTATATGGGAAACTAGGGGTATGATTGTGCTAATTTTGATCAGCCATAATTTTGTTAATTTACCAGCTAGCTGGAAGAGAAATAAATTAAATGGTAACTTGAACATTTGTCTATATGGAAATCCTTAATCCTTAAATACGATGGATTAGTCATTAAATCAAATTACATAAGGAAAAAGCGAGTGTTACAACATAAAAAATGGTGAAAAAACAATAAACACTAGAGGTTATACAAAAACCGACATTTCAGAAAACCGGTTTACGAATTTTAATTTATCTAAAAAACCGGTTTTAGCCGGTTTTCGAATTTTATATAAAAAATAAATGTTTGCTCGAATATTCTGTAATTTATCCGCAAATTTAGTGTGATTTAGAGCAGTATTTAATAGAATTTATGTGTTGTTCAATTTTATGGATAGTAAACAAAATTATTTTAATTTTAATTAGTAGAACTAAAAAATAATAGTTTATCTTTATTAAATAACTTTGGAAATAATTATTCGTTATTCATTATTCATCATTTTCACATGTAAGAATGAAAATATTTTTATGATACAGAAATTTTAAATAAAAAACATTCATTAAATTGAAAAAGAAATAAATAAATATTAGATACATGTTGATACTTGTTAATATCAATTTTACTTCTAAAAACAATTAAGCTAAACTCGTGTATTGTCTGTTCCGAGAAATTTTAATTAATTAATTTTAAACATTCTAATTGTTTTTTGTTTAATATAATATGATTTCAAAAAACTTATTGTTAGATGTGTCCTTTGTTCACTCATAAAATTTCTTGAAATAGAAAATACTCTCATACTAGCGACCAAATTATGCTTGCCTCATATAATAATTCTAATATAATAAGTTTTTTGTTCTTTAATTTGTGGTTTTTTTATTTAAAGTTTGAGTAGTGGAAGTTACTTCTTCAAGAAGAAGTCACACTAATTTAAATTAATATATACACTGGTATAAAAATCTAAATTAATATATACAAAACATTTCTGGGAACCATTTCAGACTTATAAGATATACAGTGCTATTGAACCGATATGATTTCAAGAATCAAAACGCTTTCATCTATCTTTTATATTTGGCTATATTTGTCATATTTCATTTATACAGCAAAAACCAACTTTTTTCACTAAAAAACCGGTTTTCGAATTCCATAATTTTACAAAAAAAAAAACGTTTTTTAAAACCCGTTTTTGCAAACCGACAAACCCTAATAAACACCCAAATGGATTTTAATAACTTTTATGGTCAGAAATGTGTAATACATCACCAAAGTTTATGAATATGTATAATATAATATTAGGATATAATAATTTTTGTAAAAAAACTCTTGTTTTATATTCAAGACAAAGTATTTTTCATAAATGAAGGATTACTTTAAATTATAAAAACGACTTCTGTGAACTTTTTGAATAATGTATTATAATAGTACAACTATAATGTACTTGAAGTACTTTACTAAAAAGCCTAAAATATCATTTATTGATTGATTTTTCAACGATTGGGAACGCCGCGAAAAATAAATGATATAGAACATAACCTAGAATTACAAGAAAGCTTAGAATATAATTTTAATCAGAGTCAAATTTATTTCAGTTATGGATATAGTTTCTACATCGCTTGGTTGGTGCTGATTGTGAATTTCGGCAGTGGAATCGCATTTCTGATGTATTCGAAAAAACGTAAAAACAAACAAGGCCTAGACGAACTGGGAATGGCCGACGAACCCACGATAATGGGGCGATAATAAATATTTTATTGTGAGATTTATCTATACAATGGCATTATATAAATACATATCACTAGATCTTATTTTCAATGTTCAATCCATGGAAAGATAAAGATAATGATGCCATTCTCTTCACGATAGTAATATATATTCAAACTTGCCAAAGGAATGTAGATAATTTGTTATTTACACAAGGATATGAATCATTAATTCTCAAAATATATTCCGCAGTTAAAGTTTTAATGTTACACGATTTATGAAATAGCATTTTTTAGCGTCGATTGAAGTAAAATTATTTATTCTGAACATACATGTTTCCATATTTGTATATTAAAATTTTTGAAGACTATTTTCTGTTACTTAATTAAAAACATTTGGTCTTCAATTTTCTATTCTTTCTTGTTACATTTAATTACAGGAATCACACATTTATATTACCGAGATAATTTTATTATTATTAAATTTTAATGTTATAGTTAACTGCCATTATCTACGTTTTTTATATTGTGCATTAAAATTTTTTAAGGCATAAATTAAAAATAATAGGGCAGTTGGTAACCAGAGTAGATTATCCCACAAATCAGGGCAAACTCAAGAGTTTGTCATTAAATAATGTTGCCGAACTGAAATAAACATAATATTTACATCTGCCGTTAAATTGAAGCAAAAAAATTTACCTTAGCTCTAGGTTATTTGACTATTCACGAAAACCCAGAGTAGACTATAAGGCTACTATTTTATTGGTTTTATTTATTGATTGAAAAAATTAAGCAATATAATGTAAAGATAAATGCTATGTAGTATGCAAACTAATTAGAGACAAATTTCGGTTTAATTGGGTTCAGGTATATTTGAGATGGTCAACTCTGGTTATCAACTCCTCAATTTATGTTGATCCATCAAAAACTAACTCTATTAATTCTTGGAACGTCGAAAAAGACGTAAATGTATGTATGTATGCATAAATTGCCACCGTGTTATGCAAAAGTTCGTTTCATTAAAAATGCATATACACATATTTTAAATAGATAAATTTTAAGAAAAGTTTTGAATTGCATATTTCATCACATGTAAAATTAATCCATTTTATCACTTTTATCGTATTTGTTAATAAATTATAATATTGTTAAGTTTTCCGAAACTAATATTTATTTATATAGGAACTTATTTTTAAATATTGTGAATATTGTAAATGATTTGTTATTTGATATTTTTAATATTAGTTAAGAAATGTATATCAAATATCTATTGTGTTTTATTCAATATTGAAATTATATCGAAAACATTGTTCAATATATTTGTTAATTATTGAATCTAAAAGAATATTACATATTTTTAAATTTTTGTATTAAAATATATATTATTTACTATTACAAACATTAACATGCTAAGATAATGAGACTTCGATTTTTGTGTATTTTCAAATTTGATAAAAAAAACTAAATTTAATCTTAAAATTTTTATTATTTGAATTAAAATTGATAATTTTAATTACATTGTTATACAAATTATTAAAAATGATACGAAACGTATAAAATTTTTTAATTCAATGTTTTAAACTCAAATGGTTCAAACTTATCAAATAAAAAGTATACAACTAATCTTTAGTTTGAATTCAAAACAGTATGATTTTTCATTTTATTAACAGTATATGTTGTAATAGTAATTGTAATTAGCACCTAAATATTCTTAATACATTAATGTTTCAATATAATAAGGAAAAAAATAAATATAATCTAAATATAATATACTTTACTACAAAAACTATGCTCACATACAAATATATACACAAACAGTTTTATCGCATTTTATAAGCAATTAAATTTACTATATAGATTTTTAATGTTTCAAATAATTGGTTTAAATAATTTTCTTTTAAATTTGATGTTGGAAAATAACGAAGTTATTTAAGAAATAGTATATTTTGTATTATTCGTCTACAGTCTACAACCACTGTAAACGGTTAGTTTGTAATTCAGAAGGGTTCAGAAGCTTCTGATGAATATTGTGAGTTACGAAAGATAAAATAAAAAAAAAACTACTTTACAAAATTTAAAAAACCTAATTCAATATGCATTAATTCGAAATCAAGGTATCTGTACAAACTCTATTAAAAGCAGTTTCAATAAAACTCAAATTTTAGGAAATTAAGCAAAATTGATTCAAACATCTGCTAACAAAATATTCACAGATGGACGTACTATTCGGAGGATATGTTGCGAATTGCCGATTCATGTGTAGCTGTACCAATTTTTATGATAATTGTCCAAAATTATGATCAAAAATTCACCATTGTTCTAAAGTCTGTTTGTCTATGTGGAATAAATAAATTAAATTTGCTTGTCTGGTAATGCACGAGATGCCTAAAGATTCGAAACAATTCTCTTAGTGGAATCATATAAAACAATTGATAGAATTAACAATGACAAACTGAAAAAAAACAGAATAGGTCTTTCGGAGCAAAATAGTTGTAAAAATTAAGAATGGATATTATATTTTCAAATACTAAAGATCTGACAATGGGAAAAACACATAAAATCAAAGCCGTTCGTACTAATAGTACTTTGAGCAGTATTATTTTTTGTACCTGATGTTAAAACTATCTTAAATAATTTTTCTTAATACATGAACTATAACAAACTAACAACTGTGACAAAATAAAGGAACATGTAATTTTAAAATGCATTAGTCCAAACAAACCACAATAAAAATTCGCAATAAGCATAACGAAGTCAAATAGCAATACTTAATCATTTTAAAATAGAAAATGAACAACGTGTTACTTATAATTTGTACATTTTATAGTAATTTATAGCTAACACTTTATTTTGATATTTATTACAAAGAAGTTATTTAAATATATAAATAAAAATACATAAAATACATAAATTGCTTACCAGCGATATGTAATACCATTCTTTTCTGTATTATTTTATCTGATAAATAATTTTTACTATTACTAAAGAATTGATTTTAATAAAAATATTAAAATTTGTATTAAGTATATTAAGATCTGCTATTTGTTATCGTTTTCCTTTACAACAAGAGTTTTTGAAAATCTTACAAAACTGATTTCATTGAGACAGTTTTTTTAAATCATGGTTGGCAATTTATTTAATTCAAGAATATATTAAATTGCCAACCCCATCCATTCAAAATATAAGCGAGTGATATACAAACGAAATGTAATGAAAATGCAAATTTATATTTTTAAATGTAAATCATATGTGTTGCTATATACAGAATCAATTTATTTCCAATTATCGAGTTTAGAATTGCTTCACCGAGACATATGCTCCATTTATATACAAAAATAATTATTTTTTTAATAGAGAAAGTGAATGTTTCAAAGCAATTGCAGAGAGTTTTGAATATCAATCAAAATGGGAAATGACCACAAATTGAATTGTAGCTAAATTTTTTGTAATTATAATTTATTTATAATTATACTATTAAAACATATATAATGAAACAATATAAATTTAAATTGATTGTAATAATTGAACACAGTTGTACTCTCTATTTTACCGGGAAGTTAATTGAGCATAAAAACCGATCAATATAAAGGTTATTTTTGATCCAAAATGGCATGTTTTCTCTCAATCCAAAACCGCATTATCTGCTTTTCCTAAAAAAGCTATCTACTACTAACACCATCATCACAAATTGAACGGTTTTAGAATTATACCATTTACGACCTGTGAATTATATTTTAAACATCTCTATACAAATAACTAGTTAAAATGTCTACTATTCATAAGTTTAAAATATTTCATAGTTAATTAATTTTATTGATACCTCAATTTCAAAAATGTAGAACTGAATACGATGTCTATACATGTTATGTATTTGCATGTGTCCGAGCCAACCTCATGTTGGTTTGGTACAACTTATGTTGGCTCAATTTCACGGCAGATAAATTCTCACCTTTCGGGCATGCTACTATATTGCTTTTTTCAGAGTTCGTATCTATTGCCTGTACTATTTCTTCGTTCTAACGTACGATTTGTACGCTCTATTTACGATTTGTATCAGATATTTCAAGGGGTAGATAGAGCATGATCGCGGATCGCATACACCGGATAAGAAAGGTATGAACTGCGCGGTAGAGCGGCGCTTTGAACGGGAAGTAAATCTTGCTTCATAACGGTATAAAAACAAAGTACTGTTTTATTCTAGCATCATTTCAGAAAAGCACTACGATAAATTTTATAATAGCCTGATGCCCGCAAGGAATCTATGTTCAACAAAACATACGAATGCACGAAGTAATATATTGTGCTAAAAAGTACATAGGGTAGAGCGGAGCACAAATGTCGAACTAGACTTTGAGCAAAAGTATTGTGATGACAAAATCAATTATATCACAACAAATTACACACGTCAAACATACAACTATCTGACGGTGTTCAGTAAAACTCTCAGCTAATAACTAACTGTGTTTTTCCTATTTTTCAAAAATTTGTCATCTAGCCCATTTTACCCCGTCTAGGGCATATTAACATATCTTATATGTCTTATTTTTAATTTTGAAAGGGTTTTACGAAATAATAGCTACATACGCAGCTAAGGAAAATTATAAATTATAAATTGCGTGGATACATTTTTTACAGAGAACACTATATATGAATTTGATCAGGTATTTCGTCAGAAATAATCATCAGCATAGTTGGAATAAATATTTATTTAACTTATTTCTTTTTTCAAATTAATTTACTATTTTTTATTGATTACACCTTTGCCAGTTGGCACTTTTTACCTCATCCAGATGTAAGTTTTTATAGAGGTTATATAAAAAAAACTGTTGAATCTAACTTAAAAATGTTGATTAATGGCAAAAAATTTGGGATGACACAGTAAAGGAAAAAACATAAAAGTCAAAAAAGAATACAATTAAAAAAAACACTTGGCATAAAGGTCTTAAAAATGAATTAAGAAAGTTCTTAACTATGTTAAATAAAATTAGATTAACACATTGTAATTTTTCAAGTCATTTAAATGAAATTGGTATTAAATCTTAAAGCTTCTTTGAATGTGGTGAAGAAGACGGAACTATAGAATATATTTATAGATTTATAAAACCAAGAAAAAAATGCTAGATAAATACTATGATCACAAAAGTATAATAAAATTAATTTGATTCAAGTGAAATTATG